ATCCCTAGTGGCTTGGACTAGGGAATAAATGAGAGGGATGGCAGTGAGCTGGGGAATGAGAGGATTAGTGATGGATAGGAAAATGGATGGAGCAGTGGAAGTGTGTTGGAGAAGAGGAGGGATGGTGATGGATGACAGCAAGAGTGAGTGATGGGTGTCAACCGTTATGAAGAAGAAACAAAAAGTGATTAAATTTTCTAAATTATCTCTTCTTTATTAGTTATAATTAATGGATATATATATAGATGATTATAATTGATATCATTTTAAAAATTCAAAATTTAAATTGAAATATTTTTTTTATTAGCTAGGAGAGATCTAATATTTTTTTTTATTAGCTAAGATCACTAGATGAAATTTCTTTGTGATCATACCAAAGAAATCACAAAGAAATTTCTCTATGTTGGATCGATATTTCTCTGTGTCAGGACGAAATTTTTCTATGTGAATTTCTTTTGTGAAAATATTGAGGGGGCCCTATTATTATGAAAATATTATTTATCATTTATCTTATAAAATCTTAAAATCAGGGACCTTAAAAAGAATTCCCCTTTATTTTTAAACTAAACACATAACTTTTTATGTATATATCAGTTTTTGCTAAAATTTATGTCTATGAAGTTTTGGAAAAAAAGAAAGAAAAAGAAATATGGACAGATTTCACTATCAAAGTTAATGTTAACAATGAAATTTTATCCTAGTATTAACTTGGACATTTAGGGGTTGTTTGGGGTGTTCTAAATAAGTACATTTTTTGTCTTTTTAGACTAAAAAATTGAGGAAAAAAATATAGATGTTTGAGTTAACTTTTTGACTTTTTATGAAAAAATGTGTATTAAAAAATTGTATAAATTAGTATGTAGAGAAAAATTAGGATTGGGAGTTGTGCAGTCGTAATTTTTTACTTTTGGTGAATAGTGATAACTTTTTAACTTTTTGAGTAACTTTTTAACTTTTTGACTTTTTTTTAACTTGCCAAACTTGACCTTACTATCTGTTTGTGATCTCCTTCTTTTTCTTTTTATTTTTATTTTTATTTTTATTTTTATTTTTAATATCTGGTAAACAAACAGGGACTATGGCCAAAATGCAGATAAGGCATCCACATCACAGTTGTAGTCATTAACAAAACTATCCTTTTATTTTTGAGAAAATTAGTGAAACATTCATCTCCAATTTTGAGTAGTAAGAGAGATCCAATATATTGTTTTTAATTAGCTAAGATCACTAGATGAAATTTCTCTGTGATTATACCAAAAAAATTTCTCTGTGAAAATTAAAATCTCTATGTTGGGTCAAAATTTCTCTATGTGAATTTTTTCCGTAAAAATGTTGAGTGACCCCAACTACTATGAAAATATTGTATATCATTTATCTTATAAAATCTTAATATCAAGAACCTTAAAAAAAATTAGCCTTTATTTTTAAACTAATCACATAAGTTTTTATGTATATATCAATTTTTGGTAAAATTTATCAAATAAGTTCAATGTTGATTATGAAGTTTTGGAAAAAAAAAAAAAAAGAAAAGAAGAAGAAGAAGAAAGAAAAAGAAATATGGATAGATTTCACTATCAAAGTTAATGTTAACAATGAAATTTATTCTAGTATTAACTTGGATAGTAAAATTTTACTCTCTGTTTTTAAACCTTTTTATTTTTTTATTTTTTTATTTCACTATATGTTTTTTAACATGGATAATGAAATTTCAACATTACCATCGCTAACTATCATACTTATTTTTAACATTATCATTATTGCTAGAAATATTAATAAAAAATTTATCAAAAATCATAAAATGATAATGTTAACGGAATAAAAATGTTAGTCTTACCTTAGATAATAAAATTTTACTACATGCTTCTAAACAATTCAAAAGTAATTTTACTGTTCAAGTTAAAATAGTCAAACAACTTGTTTATTTGAGTTACCAATCTCACTTTTCAGTTTACCAGTCTCACTTCTTCTTCTTTTTTTCTTCTCTGTTTAGGCTTTCTTTCTTTTGTTATTGATCTGTTTAGGCTGATCTGGTAGGTCTTGGGGCATGCCGTTGGAATCTTGTAATTTTTCTTGTTTTATTTTATGTCTTATTCACCACCCCCCAAAAAAATCTCACTTTTCAGTTCAGGAAAAAAAAAAAAAAAAAAAAAACCCTCAATATTCATCAATGGCCAAATACTCTTTCCTATTTAAATAGGACCACACGAGTCCTCTTGCCATAGTTAACTTACCTTTTGATGTGGAGCCATAAATTCTTAATTTGACTTGGATATTTAAAAGATGGCGGTGGTCTGTATATATTCTAAGATCAATGAGGCGATGGGTTCATATACTCTAATAGCAACAAGCTCAAGATCAATGATAGCTTGCTAGAATGCATGGTGCTTGAACGAGTTTGAAGATGAGGAGATGTTTCAGTTGCTCTAAGTAGCCACGCCTTTCTATCCTGACTGCATTAATGAGATATGCCGAGAGTTCAACACTAGCTATGGAATCAACACCAGCCAAGGTGAAAGTCGAATGAAACCTCCGCCAGCAATGGAAATCAAGATCAACGAAGATGATCTCTGTTTAGAAGATAGTGAGGCTTTTTGTTGTGTGTAATGGTAAAAATGAAGAGTTTTTAATATGTGAAATAGTGTATATTCAAATAATTAGAAGTGTGTTAATATAGGGTTAGTAATAGAAAGTTAAGGTGTGAAATAAGATATTTTTAAATCTTAAAAATTATTTTATGTGTGTATTAAATAATAGTGTAAACTAAGAGTATTAGTCATGTATAAATAGAATCATCCAAAATATATTTTGACAGACTTAATACATTAAACTTGGATGAGGGACTTTCACCCAAATATCATTTGTGTTGGACCACTTCTTGTGACTTCTATCCATAGCTTATCAATAAAAGCGGGGTGAATTACACTCACGATTTTTATAGTTTAAAACTTACTTCCTTTGTCTTAAAATAATGGTCTTTTTTAAAAAATTTAATTTTTTTTAATTGTATAATTATTGCACTTTAAAAAAGTTAATTTTTCAAAATTATCCTTTTGAGAATATCAAAATCATAATTGTACTTTTTATATTGTTTATTAATTTTAAAAAAAGGGTAAAATAAAAAATTTATATTATTTTTGTACTTGATTTTTGAAAATAGACTAATATTTTGGGACAATGAAAAATGGAATAAGGAACTAATATTTTGGCACGAAGGGAGTATTATTTTAATTTTTTATTTTTTAATTATAATATATTTAATTCTAAATTTTAAATCTTGTTTCAAATAATGATAATTAAAGATACCGTTGCTCAATTTCAAGGGCAAAATTATCAATTTGATAAAATATAAACTTATTTTTGAATTTTTAAAATTATTTCTACCCATCAAAAATAAAATTATATAAAAATAATAAATTTTTTATAATTTTATTTTTTTACGAATTAATTTTTAATATGTGTTTGGATGATAATTATATAATGGGGTTTTTTTTGTTGATTTTTTTTAGATGATTATCATATAATAGATGGTTGTATTTGTTGTTAACAGATATTTTTAAATAGTTATCGTGTAATGGATGTTTATTAGATTTTTAATGTGTAATTGATATATTTAATATATGAAATATTTTTATTTTTTATTTTTTGATTTAATAGATTAGTTTAATAATGACATCAAAATTGTTGTCATATTTGACATATAAAAAAATAAAAACTAATTTAACGAAACTACATATAATTTTTTTTATTTCTCCCAAAAGATAAAATTTATATAAAAATAATGTGTTTTTAATTTTTTTCACCAATTTAATTTTTAGTTTAAAAAAAAATTAAAAACAGATTCTAAAAATTAAACTAAACAAAATTTTATAATCAAGAAAGTTTCAGCATTATTCACTAAAAAAAAAAAATCATTACATTTCAAACAACCTACAAATTAATTAATACAAAATAAATTGTATAACGACTTCACTCTTGAAATTGACCGTTTACGAAAAAAATATTTTTGATTATTGTTATTTAAAACAAAATGTAAAATTTAGAATCAAATATATTACGATTACAAAATCATGAATTAAAATGATACGAATCAGATAAAGGAGAATGGGACACATTCCTCATATTTTAGCCCCGTTTGGTAGAGTTATAGGAAAGTTATTATAACTTATAACCTAATAACTTATAACTTATAACTGTGAACATAAGCTGATTTTTTACTTATAAATTAAGATTCTCCTCCCCTACTTAAAGAATAAGTTGATTTTTGATTTACAAAAAATTATAAACTGTACTATTAAGTTGAACCAAACACATCAAAATAACTTAAATTAAACTAAAAATTAAAATAAGTTACAAATAAACCATACCAAACATGTGCCATCTGGCTTGTGGGGGAATGTCAAGTTTGACTAATGCAATTTCGTCCTAAAACGAAGTTACTCACACGAATCAGATATAGGAGTCTAGGACTCAACTAGTGAATGGGACACATTCCTCATATTTTATGCCATCTAGCTTGTTCGGAATGTCACGTTTGACTAATAATGCATATAACAACAAAAATAACACACCACGCCCAGCAGCACCGAAATCACACTGGAGAGAAGTTGTGACTTTCTATTTTTAGGTGAGATTTAAATCTTAAATGTATAGAGAAAAAGATAAAAGTTTTTCTATTTCATCTACTTTTCTTTCCATATTTCTTTTAGTTTTACAAATCTCTACAATTCTAAAATCCAATCACAAATGAGTTTATATTCCACAAGGACACGAGTATATGTTTTAGGGTAATGCCACATTTATAAGAATCATGAGTAAAAATAAATCAATTATAACAAAAAACAACACAAAATATAATTAAAATAATATTATAATTAATATTATAATAATTCATAACTAAGAGGATGAATCATAACCAAAGTCCACCAGTACCAAGTGCATAATATGGTAAGCAAGGGACCCACTTGCCCATATGGGAGGCATTTAAAATTAGAGAACTCCAATTCTTTAATCCTTGAGACTTGTTAGGAAGTAAAAGAACTTTTCAAAAAGAATCAAAACTGATCTTGATCTTTTCATAACTAAAATAATAAAATAACAGGATTAACAAAACTAAAAACAAAAATAAAATAATGATGGGATTTGCTACAATTGAATATAGTGATGGAAACCATAAAAAATATGGTACAGAGGACAAGTCCAAAAGACACTTTTGTTTATGGAGTCTTGTTGATAGGAATCTCTGTGGGTTCTCTCCTCATGCCTCCCCATTTTCAAAAGCATCCTACAGTAACAGAACTTTCACATTCACAAGTTTCATTATCACCATCTTCACCACCACACTAGGAAAATTAGTTGGACTTTCCATTTTGCTGGATGTCAAATCCTTATCTCTCTCAATAATTGAGTGTACTCATACAAATACACAGCACCTTTGGCCACATGGCCAAACCATACCCATATACATATATGTACATTTTGTAGTTTGGATTGGTTCATACCATGCCCCCAAGCTTATTCAGGAGCTAAGCTAAGTTGTGAACCGACGGGGCACTCGGGGTGTAGGTACAACCACATCGCGACCACTTTCTATCAAGTTGAGACGATCTGGTATTGTTTTATCAAACAGCCTGTTGTCGGGATTTTCAGCATAGCACGCATAGTAACAGCTCACACAAGCATGAGGCAGTGCCATGGCGATCCTGGTCTGCCATGTTTTGAAAAAAAAAAAAAATTTATCAAACATGCTAATCCAAGTTGATCACAGGATGACTTAAAATGTAGAATTGAACAATCAACTATGCTAGTAGTACTGTTATGTTACCATTAGGTAGCCGATGAAGAAGGCTATGAGGGAGATAGTGGCTGTGAAACCCTGGTGGACTCTAGCAGTCCAAGCAGCTACAACAATAACACAGATTGAGCCGCTGCAAACTCCTGTGAGGAAGCAGATTGCGCTGGTCATGTCCGAGTCAACAATGGTTTCCATTTTTCGCTCCTGAAATAGCTTCCAAGTATCTTGTGATGCTTGCACAAACCCTTTTCCATATGCCGCTATCTGCAACATTCCTTTGAATGAACATCTCAGAAAGCCTAATGGTTATAGTATAGTGACCAATTCCAGTAAATAAATAAATAAAATTAAAGAAACAAAGATGAATCTAATTTGGAACTTTTTATCACTATGAAGGAGCAATAAAAGATGCATTTATAAACTTCTTGAATAACCCATTAAAGATGAGATTATATCTAAAATAACTAGTGAAACGGTTTCAATGAATCAGGTTAAGTTGTCTTGCAAGAGGAATTGCAAACTTACAACAAAAGAAATCAATAGATTTTTGTAACAAACATGGCCGTATCAAAATTAATTATATTCAAAGAAAAGACATCACCATCACATCACAGAATCATCTAATGCCTTCTTCAACATCCCCCCCCAAAAAAATAAATAAATAAATAAATAAATAACTCAAACACGAAATGCTAAAAAGAAAGAAAATTTTGGAAGTGCCAATGCCCAATCTATAACAATACCTGTACATAGGCCCAACCATTGCCATATCTGAAGATGGACTCCATGACGTTGAGACAACAATGTGCACAAGAAAACATGAACTCATCTTCTCCCTCGAGCAAATTCAAGCCTCGGGCAATGATTCTCAAAGCTTCAATTGCAGGCACAAAGAGGGACCCGAGACACGCACTTCCTAGATTCTTAGACAGGGCTCTTTGGAAGCAGAATTGAGTATTAGATTGCATTCCTCTGAGATAATACAAGGCAATTACCCTACTAACTGTTATATTAGCGACATTCCTCATGACTTCAGCGGTCCAAGCCAAGCTCAACACCAATGCAATTATAACCAACGGTTGGAAGTAAAAATTCAAGGACCCAATCACAGCTAGAATCCATAGAGACATCCACATGAATCCAGCCCCAAGCATCCAATAAGTGGGTTGATTCAAATCACGGAATTTCGATACGGGTTCAAGTGATTTAATCAAGACTTTAGAACAAAAAGCAATTCTGTGAGAAACCCAACAAGCATACAAGCCATTACCAATGGCAAATGCAAGAAACAGGACTCCAACGCCATCGGTGGGGGCTTTTTGGAAGCAAATAAGGAGAATTCCGGCGGATAAGGACATGATGAAACTGCTCCAAATTATGAAATGAACCATGAATGTAGGCCACACTCTAACAGCTTTTTGCCATGAAAATGCTAGTGTGATGCTCAAAAGAGAAGCAGCCTCAACCTGAGGCAGAAAAAATTCCAATACACTCTTCTCCTTTTTTTGAGTTGAACCAGCTTGTAATAGGCCTTGAACCCCCTTAAACACAAGAAAACCAACTAGCCCAAAAGCAGCCACAAAGTGCAAAAGGAACAGAAACAGAGAGAATTTGTTGGTATAAGATCTTGAATTCAGTGTTGTTAAAGATGGCTGGTTAAAAACAAGAAAAACCCAGAAAGAAAAATTAAAAATTCATCAAATTTCCAAAAATTAGCACAAAAAAATGTGAAATTTGATTAGTTTGATGTGAGGATTAATTGAGTACCTGTGAGATTGGGGTAGGGGTGGAGCGAGATTGAGCAGGAGAGGGAGTGGTGCGAGTCTGAGAATGAGAGAGGGGGACTTGGGGGACTTGGGGCACTCGGGGGACTCTGGTTCCACTGTTGATGACAAGTCTAAGAGGATTTGTGGCGCTCAATCTTTGCATCCTTGAGATGTGAATTTGGTCTGGTGGGTTGGTTTCAGTCACGTGTGGTTGATGATGATGAAAACCCACTTCACCTTTCTCCAAATCCTTCACTTCTACATCATCATCTTTTTGCTTCTCATTCTCCCCCTCCACCTCCTCCTCCTCCTCCTCTTCATCTTCTCTCTCTGCATCATCACTTTCTCTCTCTACCACCTACCAACATAAAACACACAAGTTTGAGAACAATCCACATCAAAGGCACAAAAAAACAAAAAGAAATTAGATAGGAGAGAAAGTAAGTGGTGGTGGCTTGTCTTACAGGCTCTGCGGCACCCATCTTTGTCAGGTCACTGGCGGCGGCGGAGGGCGGCGGAGGTGGTGGCGGTGGCGGTGGCGGTTTTGGGGTGAATGGTGTTTTGGATTTGTTTATATCGTGGTGTTGGCTGAGGATGTCATTTTGGATTTTACATCAGAATATGGGACAGAGACATTTAATGCTTTTCAACGCGCATATATAGTACGTGTATTCACGCTCCATCTTGATCACCGTCTCTGTACATGGCGTTTCAATTTTCTGCGGTGTTTTTTAAAAAGTTGGTAAAAGGTTGATTTTTAATTTTTTATTAATTTTAAATTACATTATTTTTCGCCTAATTTATTCATAAAATGATAAAATAAATTAAAAAAATAAAAAAAATAATTTTTTATCAACTTTTCGAACTAGGCCTTGTGGTGTATATTGGTGTTGTTTGGTGTAGCTGTTAAAACAGATTATAGATTATAACTTAACAGATTATAGATTATTACTTTAATCAGAAGCTGTTAATCTGTTTGGTATAGCTGTTGGATTATAGATTTAAGTTACTGAGTAATGTTTGTTAAATAAGCTGTGAAGTAGCTTTTTTAATTAATTTTTATTTTTTATTATTCACTATTTGTCTACATTTCTCATAAAAAATAATAATAATATTTTATAGTCTATTTGGATCTTTTTCTATTTTAAAAAAAATAAAAAATAAAAAAATTTAAGAGTATAATTATAAATTAACATGTCCACAGCAGAAGCTAATAATCAGAAGTAAGGGGTGATCAGCTTCTTAAAATCAACTTTTTTGACTTAAAATAAGTTGTTAAAATCAGAAACTGTTTGAAATAAGTTTAACCAAACAATCTAAAATAACTTTTTAAAAATCAAAAGTCATAAATTGACTTAAAAAAACCCTCACCAAACACCCCATTAGCTTAAGGTAGACCTGCCACGAGGTTGTTTTTCGAATAATGTCATTGTGACTCAAATTTGGAACAATTCAGTGCGTCAGATTGTAAAATTAAAGAAATTAAAATTAAATTAATAATTTATAAATAGGGAGATTTACCAATAAATCTCAAAATTTGAACTTATGCACCAATTAGTCCCATTTTTATTTTATTAAACCATTTAGTCCCATTTAATTGTGAAGGACATAATTACCCTCATCTAACCGTAAGACACACACAGGGGCTGGCATGGACTGTTTCTCCTATCACACAGATACACACATACATTGTGAGGGGCACACACACACACACACACAAATACACACACAGATACACACATACATTGTGAGGGGCAGACACACACACACACACACAGATACACACACACACACAGATACACACATACATTGTGAGGGGCAGACAGACACACACACACAGATACACACAGGGACGCCGTTGCTGACCGATCTAATCTTCCTGAGCCGTCGGTTCGTGCGTCGCCCGCCGAGCCTCCGCGGCAGTCGGAGAATGATGCGCGAGCCGGAGTTGAGGGTAAGAGAGGCGGCGGTGGAGCAGATCGAAGAGAGGCAGAGCGATTGGGCGTACTCGAAGCCGATCGTGATTCTGAATTTGTTGTGGAACTTTGCGTTCGTGTTCGTTGCTTTGTCAGTGTTGGTGGTGAGTCGGAAGGAGTCTCCGACGAAGCCTTTGAGGCTTTGGATTCTTACCGGGTTGAGGAACAAGATCGGCTCGGCAAACCGGACAAGTCACATGAGAATTGAGCCAAGCATCGATGCATTCGGGGTGAAACACATGGTCGCATTTGGGGATCAATCTGAGATTCTCAACGTCTTCGAATTCATTGAGACAAATACATGGTCAAGCCCTCTCAAACACACTGATGCACGCAGACACACAGATGGCTTCAACACACACTCACACACACACACACACACTGTTACACGCACACACACACACTGTTATACACACACACACTGTAGACCTAAATTATTATTATACCAAGGACACTCTCGTCCGCGAAGTTAAACAAAAATGAAAAAAAAAAACAAAAAGGATCAAATCAACCCACCAATAGGACTATAAGTTTGTACTCCAACAAAGTGGGACTATTTGGTATAACAGTTTGTAAAATAGGATTTATTGGTAAATTCCCCTTATAAATATGTATGTATACAAAAAACTAAAAATATAATGTTTCAATACAAAAAAAAAAATATATTATTTTTTATTCAAATAATAATAAATTTATTATAATTTTTTTTTCATATTTAATTGAAATCTTATGAAACACAATCTATTATATTAGACTTGTAACATTTACTTTATTTTTTTTTCAAAGTCTTAAAAAATATATATAATTTAATTTATTCTTTTTTGAAAAATTTTCATATAAACCACATATTAAGAAAATGGTAATCTATTTAGTCTCAAGGATTTCTTATAGACTAAATTTAGTTCCCATTAATTTTAAAAATATATATTTAATAATTCGATTTACGGTTATTCTATTATAATATAATATATATATATATTCTTCTTCTTTTGTGCTAGAAAGGTAAAATATACAATGTATGAGAATCAAATTTGAGATAAATTTTTATATGAGAATTTTTTTTTTATTTGGAAACATTTCAAAAGGAGTACAACAACTCCTTAGTAAGTTTTGAACAAATGTATAATTCAAACTATAACACTCTAATGTAACACTCAAACGTAACACTTAAAAAAAAAAAAAATCCTTAATGTAATTTTCCCAAACGTAACTTTCACGACCCAAACCTACCCCTATAGGTTTAGCGCCGTAACCGGTTAGTAATCTTGGGATTACCAAAGGCCTCTGAACTAATTAAGCAAAATTAAGAGACTAGAGGAAGCAAATATCAAAATATAATGTCCATAGAGCTGTGGATAGAAAACTTCAAACTTAGTTTACATCATTATGACGTCATTCTTGCGTCATCACACATATACAGATAAACAAAAAAACATGTCCGGACTTCAACAAAAGAAATACAAAAGTCTTAACACATGGATCACAAAACTTGATCACTTCTCAAAATGGAAACCTCCTCGGGAGGCACAGCGGTTGGTTGACAGAACAGATCTCCAGGCAATCATCACTGAGCCTGGTCACACACCTGATCATCTACATACATAAATAATACAGTGAGCTGGAGCCTAGTGAATAATAGCAGAGTAAAGGTTTTAATGAATGATGTCTGTAATAGATTTAGAAATCAAAGTTCAGAGTCAGAAATAGATTTATATTCATATTCAGAATTCGAAATTCACAGATAGTCATACGTGGTACATCTATTAGCACTAACAGAACAGATGACCCATAATTATATGTGATGTATAGATGACCCATGGTCACATGGGACGGTCAGATATAGAGCAAATACAGAGCAAATAATGGTTATGCTTAACTAGTTCCATAATGGAACATCTAGTACCAGGTAACAAATAATAGATATCATATGGTGCTAAGGAGGCCACGAATACATTTCAGACAGTTGGACAATCATTCATTTAATCAGAAAATAACATTTAAGAAAACAGATCATATCATATCATTCAGAAAATACTTAAAGTTGAATATAGCTTTACATAATTGTTATTAACAGATAACTCCAGCAGTAGAACAGACAACGCAGACAGATCAGATAGTCTATGGCGCGTGACCTACACAAATACATAACGGATACACATTGAAACACATGCTCGAAAAATACTTTAACTTATGTCTTTTCTATCTTGGTGCGTTTCTAATCCTTATTCTCATTATTATGTCGTAATTAGGGCTTAGGAATGCCTAAGATGCAATGAGGATGTTAAAATGTAATTTGAAACACTTAGTCAAAATTTTAAAAGTAGGTCAGTTCGCTCGAGCGCAACTTTATTCGCTCGAGTGGACACTTTCGCTGCAAAACTTTTGAGAGCTCTTATTTTATGCTCGAGCACAACTTCTGGTTTCTCGAGCCAAGGTTCAAAACAAAGGGTGGTGGCTCGAGTGCAACTTTTTCTCCTCGAGCCAACCTCTAAACTCTACAAAACTTCTGAGAGTTTGCATTCTTCACTCCAGCACAACTTTCACTGTTTGAGCAAAGAGTGCGAATTCTGGAATTTCTAGATTGCTTTATAAGCTCCAAAACTCAATTCCAATGCATCAAAACTCATTCTTTTGGGCCATAACTTCAGAAAACACTTGTAAACTTATAAAACATCATGAATTAAAGATCATTTCTCAAAATCAAGGCACAAAAGCAAGCTAATTATTCAAAAGCAAACTTGAATTATATGTGTATATATAACATGCATGTAATGTTATAAACTCAAACCTTTCAAAACATGATCAAATGAGATATTTAGCTCCAAAACATGTTGCATTTCCAAAATTACACTAAAAGAACCACATGCATGTGAAAATCCTTGGTGATTAAGCTCAAAATGTATGGAAATATGCATGCATTGATTCACTTAATTATCTTGAATTCATAGTCTTGATGTCCTGATGACAAAGTTTATGTGTAAATTTCTTACCTATAAGTCTCAATTCCCTTGAATTCGAACAAAGCTTGAGTGATTCCTCCAATTTCTTATGTTGATCTCAATTCTTCTTCAAATCCTGGCAATCTCCCTCATTTCTCTTCTTTTGATTTCAATATCATGCTCTCCCTCTCTTCTCACATTTATGAGCTCAAAATAGATGAAAGAGGTGTGTAAATTGTGTTCTAGAAGTCTTCATAGTCTTGTATAGGCTTGGTTAATGGAGTTGAATTAAGTTTGGGTTAAGATGCTTAATTGTGATTATTTTATTCTAATTATTTGGTTCCGAATCAGATTTCACTTAAACATATCATAAAATTCTAAAAATTCTAAATAACACATAGACTTAGTCAATTTGGTGTTCGGACGCCGATGAGGCCTTCAATTCGCATATCAAAATAGAAACACAGATAGATATTCTTACCATGGACAGATATAAACATAATTAACACATAGCACAAGCAATTAACTCATAATTTCATTTTAATTACTAATTAAGCATTCTTAAGTAAGGTTTATTAGCTAATCATAGGTCGGGGTTGTTATAGTCTTCTCCATTTACAGAGTTTGGTCCTCCTCGAATTACCTTCATTTTAGAAGAATGTCGGATTTAGAGGGAACAAATCAGGGTATCTCTTCATCATATCCTCTTCGGTTTCCCAAGCAGCATACGTCCCTCCATGATTTTGCCAATCTACTTTCACTAATGAAATTTCCTTGTTTCTCAATTTTGATTTGGCGATTCACAATTTGGATTGGTCGTTCTTCATACATGTAATAATCTTTTAGAAGTACACGTGTTGGCTCAATGACATGATGTAGATCTCGCAAATAGTCCTGAAGCATAGAGACATGAAACACATTATGCATTTGCTCCATAACTGGAGGTAAAGCCACTTCATATGTCATTGGATTGATTTTCTCAATAATTTCATATGGCCCAATATACCGCTATGCCAACTTACCTTTAACCCTAAATCGTGCCTAGCCTTTCATCGGAGTTACTTTAATGAACACGTGGTCACTAATTTCATATTATCTGTCTCTTCTTCAGACATCCGTATAACTCTTTTGATGACTTTGAGCGGTTTTCAATTGTTGTTGTATCAGTTTCACTTTTTCAATCGTCTCTTGTACAAGTTTCGGTCCCAATAATGACCTACCTCTTACTTCGGCCTTACAAATCGGAGATTGGCATTTTCTTGGTACAAAGCTTTGTAAGGAGCCATCCCGATACTCAAATGGTAGCTGTTATTGTACACAAACTTGGCCAGTGGTAGATAAGTTTCCCAATTCTCCTGAAAATCTAGGACATACATTCTGCGCATATCTTCCAAGGTCTGTATCGTTCTTTCTGATTGGTCGTCCATCTGTGGATGGTATGCACTACTCAACCTCAATGCAGTCCCCAAAGCCTGTTGCAAACTCTGCCAAAATCTTAAAGTAAACTTTGAATCTCTATCAGACATAATGGATATGGAAAACCCATATAATCTCACAATTTCATTCACATATTGTAGACACCCCATTTTTGACCGTCCTCAAGACTTGGACGTCATCGTTTGAACACTCGATGATCATCTATGCTCGTGTTCATTTTGAGTTCCTGAAGGTCTCGGTTGCGCACCTTGCCTTAGAACCTTTCAACTTATCTGTTTTGTGCTTGGTTGTGGACCAAGAGCTTGTGGTTTTGTTTCTGAGGGAAGAGGGTGGCTTGTTGGCCAACCCTGTAACCTATCGGCTAGGCCCTATGCCTATTGGCTATTTCTTATTTCCATCGGCCATCAGTGGTGGCTGGTCGACACATTTGATGGCCGGTCGGCACCCTTTTTGGCCGATCGGCCATGTTTGTTGGCCGAGGCCTTTTTATTTGCTTTTGCAGATATTTTTGTGCCAGCTGTGATAGCTGGTGAGCACAGATTTCATCCTCCATTATGGAGGGATTGAACCAAGCCTTTAGCTTGTCCAACAAGCTTAGGACTTGAATTTCTATAAGAAGCGAGGTCCCTCTCCCTTTCTAGAGGTTCTGAAAATTTGAGATACAAAACATATATATCTCTCTCCATATTTCTTTTTCTCTCTCTATATTTGCACTTGTTTGTGCTCAAAAGTGTCTTTTCTTCACACTTTTGCACTAAAGCACCTAGTGAAACACCTTTACTACTGAGCTGAGGTTCTTGGAGGTTGCATTTGAGTGGTTTAAGCTTTTGTTTTTGTCTCTAAAGTTGCTGTTCTAAAGAGGTTCTTCAAGGGTGAGTCTCTTACCTCTTTAAAGCTTTGTTTTCATAGCTTATTTAGCCAACTTTGCATGCTTCTTTTGGCTTAGCTTTCAACTGAAAAAAGTCTTGTTTTGAAGTGTTTAACATGTTTTCTTAAGGCCTCTTTGGTATTGGGGGTGGTCTACTCCCTTGCATGCCTTATTTGCTAGGCTTTTGAGCTATAACTTTAGGTCTTTGTTTTAGCCTCTGTTTGGCCTCATCACCACTGAATTCTAGAGGAATTTTAGTGGTGGAAATTGTGTTTTGAGGTCCCAAATAGAAGGGGGCCATCCCATCTCCTTGCGTCTTGTGTGCTTGTGTTGATGGCTCATCAAAAGAGCATGAAGCTCTATCTTCTTGAAGCTTTGTTTGAGCACTTTTTTGTGACCTTTTAGACCTGCCATGACTCTGTTTTTGATTGTCTTGGTCACGTCTTGCATGCTTCTTGTATGTATAGTGTGATCCTACTTGAATCTTCTCAAAGTAGCAAGCCTTTCTAGCTTGCTTTGGCTCTATCTTAGCATGCCTTAGGCATTATTTTAGCATGTTATAACTCTATCTAGGGTTAGTTTGATAGCCTCTTGCATGCTCCTTGCACTTGTAGTGCAATCCTCCTTACTAGCCTAACATGCATCATGTTTTGAATCATCATTCTAGCATGCTTTTGGCTCTACTCCAAGAAGCTTTTACTCATGTTTTACCATGCTTAAGCTCTGTTTTATGTTGTTTTGGTCATGCATGCTTTGCTTTGTATAGCCATAGTGCATTCTAGCTCACTAGCTTTAAGTTTCCAAGCCACTAGTATGCATTACTTGGGCTATTTGCATGTGTTAGCATCATTTGGTATGTGATTTCAGTGTATGTAGTGTGGTCATACACTCACATCTTTCACTCTTTCAATGCTTTGGAGGGTTCGTACTTTATGCCTTAAATATGAGCCAACATGTATGCCGTCTTGCCTAAGCTTTTGGGCTACCATTTTAGTGTGTTTTTGGTCTTATTTTGCCATGATACAACTCTGTTTTTGGTTGGTTAGAGCATCCCTCATTTGCTTCTTACACTTGTAGTGTAAGTCCTTTTTGCTAGCCTTGCATGCCTAATGAGTGAGCTTGTTATTCTAGCATGTGTTGGCTTGGTATTAGCCCATTTTTGGTGTTATTTTGACATGCCATAACTCTGATTTTTGTTAGTAAAGTCATCTCATGCTTGGTTTTGGTAGGTGTAGTGTAACCTTCCTCTTTGGCCTTGTATGCTCCTTGCTTCATGCCTCTAATTCTAGCATATGTTAGCTATGTTTAAGCATGTTTCTAGCATTGTTTTGTCCTGCCTTGGGACTATTTTGAGTCACCTTGGCCCATTGGGTCTTGCTTGATATGGCCATGGTGCAAGTCCCTTTTGCTAGCCTTAAGTTTTGAGCCTCCTAGCATACTATGCTTGTGTTATGTGCATGATTTGGCATTATTCCTTACATGATTCAGAGCCTATTTCATTGTCGCACTCTCACATTTTCCAAATGTGTACGCATGCTTATACTTACTTTTGGACTTCATTTTCAGCATGTTTTGGCCATTGTCTTGGCATGCATGAGGCATGCTTGAGTTTGGTTTGGTCCATTGAGTATTACATTACACAGCCCTTGCCATGTCCATGTTGTTAGCATGTTGTGTGTTGCATTTTGTTTGGGTTGGACGTCAATCCAAACACGAGGAACGAGGGACGTTTCATACTCAAAGTGATGAAACGTGCCTCATTCCTTAGGTCCTCGACACCTTTGATCATGTATGATAAGGTGGCGGTCCATCGAGTCCTATGTGTTATTTGTGCATTTATTGATATTGAATTGTGCAAACTTGGCTTCTTTGGTCATCATGCATTGAGATGCGTGATTGATGGCCCGAGAGTCGAGTACTGCACTCCCTTGAGCTTGAGAAATGATAGGGAGGGTGGTTGTGCACACATACCTTGCAAATACACTGCCATGCCTCTGTTTGTGCTCTGTTGCAGCAAAAAAGGAGAATTTGCAGGAAGCAGTGGCCGACCGGCCACCAAGTCTGCCGATTGGTTATCAAAATTGGCCGATGACCATCCACTCTGGCCGATGGCCATTCCTCTTGGCCGACCACCCTTCAGCATATCCCTAAGGTGGATCAAAAGCATATTGGAAATTGGCACAATTTTCAGAAGTACAAAAGAGTGCAAACAGAGGCATCACGAGGCACGGTAGTGGATTTCCGAGCGAAGCCAACCGAGCATGCATCTCTTCCTTGCCCGCGAGGCCATTTCTTTATTTATGATTAGTTCATGTAAACTAGTCATTTGATTTATTTTGTAATATTTTAATTAGCTTAGCATAGCTATTTGTTTAAATTTGGATTGTAATAATTAATTAGCTTGTTAGTTAATTAGTTTTGGTTTGTAATTAAGTAGCATAGCTTAGTGTAGCTTTTATTCGGATCCTCCGTCGAGAGGGCAAAATGTTGTAATAAGTGTGCGTGTGTGTGATGCATGTCTTCCAACCCCCATTTCTTTCTCCCTTTTACTTAACCGCTTTCGATGGTTAGTTTAGGGATATATTTCAATTAGCATACCTTATGCTTGCATGTTTGCATCATTCATTTGTCTTGCATGCACCGGGCTCGACGCATCATACAAACTGCATTGTATTTCAATTCCAATTTGAATACATGTTATCAAGTTGCGTTCACATGACATCTTAGAATAGCCGAGCCTATTTAAGTTACATTTTTGCATGTGTTGCATTAGGCATCTTAACATAGTTAGGATCATGCATTGATTACTAACTAGCTTCTTTTTTGGCTCGGAGTACACAGTGAGTGTTTATGCTTTAGCATCCTTGCATGCGTGTAAGTGTTGCCATGATAACATGCTTTCCATGAGGCTAATTACTTAAGTGTTTAACTACCTGAATGCCTGTGGGTGAAGGTTTTATTGCTTGAATTGGAACAATTCATCGAAATGTGTGTTTTAAGCCCACTTGAGGTGGCAAAATCATCATGTTTTAAGCCCACTTGAGGGTGGCAAATCCATGTCTTAGCCTACTCGCGAGTAGCACTTTCAAACCATTTTCAAACAAACAAACATGAGATGTTTTGTTCCAATTTAGGCGATCTAGTCTATACTTTATGCTGTATGCATCACATAGTAAGCTAGCTAATGAACCAAACACATATGTTTTCAAAAACAACATATCATGTTAGTAGAGGCCGATCTTTGATTGGGCGAGCGAGGGTGCTCATTGCATGACCTTCCCCTCTCGTACCCATGTTCTCGAGCCGAGGCAACTTTGGTGATGACGGACACGTGGCCTTAGGCATGAGTCAGGGTTTTCTAAATTTCCCCAAAACAAAATATTTAGGTACGTGACTTTGAAATCTGGCAAAGCAGTCCATGTTTGGCGCTTTTTGATTAAAATCAATTTTCCAAAACGATTTGCTGGATTTGGACTCTTTGGTGATTTATCAGTCTTACATTGCAGTTTATGAGATTAGATTCAGAACTGTGACATGAGTCCGAACAGTAGTAGCTAAGAACTACGATTCGCGCCCTCGCGGACGGAACAGAGTTCCGGGCGGTCTACACATATATGTCAGCCAATTTGTCTGCATTATAAAAAGTTTTCACAGGCCGAACATGAGCAAATTTTAGTTAAACGATCAACAATGACCCAGATAGAATCCATACCTCTTGAAGAGCAAGGTAGACCGACAATAAAGTCCATTGTAATATGTTCCCATTTCCACTCTGGTATAGGAAGTAGCTGAAGTAGTCCAGCGGGTCGTTGATGTTCAGCTTTCACTTGTTGGCAATGCAAACACTTGGCTACAAAATATGTGGTATACTTTTTTATTCCAGGCCACCAAAAATTTTGTTTCAAGTCATGGTACATCTTTGTATTTCCCAAATGTATGGAAAATTTAGAATTGTGGGCCTCAGTCATAATACACTTTCTCAGGTCAGAATAATCCGATACACAAAGTCTATTCTGAAACTTCAACACATTATTTTCATATACAAATCTGGGCCTTGGTTTTGAAAGGATTTCATCAACAATCTTCGCCAAAAACTTATCTTGTAGTTGCTTTTCTTTAACTTCCTCAATGATAGCTGGTTGTGCAGAGATAACAGCTAAGACTCCACCTTGTTTACGCAACACAATTTCAATTTCATTTCTTTCCAGATCATACTACAAC